CTGGAGGCCAAATTTTTATCTGGTTTCTGAATCTGATACATTGGGCCTTCTGTATCTGCAGTTCTGCACCTGTGGATTCAAGCAACTGTGGAATAAAAATATTCAGAAATAACTACATCTATATTGAATAGCAGCTTTTTTCTTGTCACTATTTCCTAAAAAATATGATAAATAAATATTTTTGTAGCATTTACATTGCATGAGAAATCTAGAGATAATTTTTTAAAAGTCCATGGAAGGCTGGGTACAATAGTGCACACCTGTAATTCCAGTGCCTTGGTAGGCTAAGGCAGGGAAATTGCAGTTTCAAATTCAGCCTCAGCAAATTAGCAAGACCCTAAGCAACTTATCCAGACCTTGTCTCTAAAAAAAAAAAAAAAAAAAAAAAAAAAATAAAAATGAGCTGGTGATGGGGATGTGACCCCTATGCTCAATCCTCACCAAAAGGGAAAAATATTTTTTTAAATAATTTTTATTATTTTTTAATAATATAATTAAAATCTTGTGACCTACCTATTTGTATGTCACAAACAAGATTGTTTCATGACATATAAAAGAACAGAACATCTGAATCTGAGTATCTGTGGAGGGCAGTGTCCTGGGAACAGTCCCTGCAGATATGGAGGGATGGATGTACTTGATAAGACTGATTATATGTATCTTTCACTTTTCTCATATTAAAAAAAAGGGCTGGGGGGCAGCCCAATGGCAGAGCACTTGCCTAGCATGTGTGAGGCCCAGGTTCCATCCCCAGCACCACAAAAACAAAACAAAGCAAAACAACAACAACCAAAAGTTTCAGTGCCACATGACTACAGGTGTGTTTGATGTGGATCCCCAACATGACACAGGTCCAGATGTACAGCTGTGGTGTTAGTGATCCTATAGTTGGTATGATTCATCTGCGGGAATAGACAGCCTGGAACCCCAGGCTCCAAGGGAAAGAAGCTGAGCCCACAGACCCGATGCTTTGGAAGCCGTCTTGAGGTCTGTGGTTGACACCTCCAATTACAGCACCACAGTCAACACAGGAACTCAGCTCCATTGGCTTGCCACACTGGGACAAAGAGGGGACCCACAGTCAGCACTGCACCCAGCATTTCTACATGTGGAGAAGCCACCTTGCATAGGAGGTGGCATGTGCCACGGACTGCATCTGGTTCATGCGTGCATCAGTAAGCAGCAGGAGCTCTGGGGACAGAGTAGGCACTTAATCAAGTGTGCCGTCCATGAGCAAAGGTGGCTTTATTTTCCCAAAGTAAGGTTTTTTACTCTCATGTAGAGTGACAAGTGTGTACAGCCCCATCTTCCTTTCTCATATTCACTGCCTCCTTCATCCCTGTGACTGGCATGCCAGCCTCTAGAGCTTCATTATCTAACACCAGGAATTATGGTATTAATAGCTTCCAAATATACCTTCTAACACCCACTGGACAAAAACAAAAACCCAACCATAAGATTTGCCATCACTGATGGGACCAGGTTTTGAAGTCAAATGGCATCCCACTGCATGCTATGAATCACAACCACACCAGGCCCCTCCAGCTACAGTCATTCAGACCACAGAACTCAGCACTAAGAGGGGCCCTAGAATCTGTTCCTATTTCACTTCATGGACAAGGAATCAAGTGGGATTTAGGAAGGTGAAGTGTCACATCAGGGCTCCATTCCTGTCTCCAATTCACTTTATGGAGAAGCATGCATAGGTCTGGTCCAGCAGCCTGTTGCTCAGCAAGTGCAGATGTTGTGAACAACCAGGGAGATGCCCCAGAGTCCCAGATGAGCAGCATCTGCTTGTCCGCCAGGGCTCATTAGCCATGAGTCTTTCTTGTCCTCTCCTGTTCTCTGGTATTCAGCCCACATTTCTCTCTGGCTAGTGATCCAGTTGAGGGTCTGTGTGGCTGAGCCCTGCTACAGTGCTCCCAGCCAGCAGCATTATGGCATCCCAGGAGACTTGGGTGATGCCTGCAGACATTCTTGGGCATCACACTGGGCTGGGGGGTACTGCTACTGGCACCCAGTGAGCTGAGGCTAGATATGCTGCTAAATATCCTACAATGCACAGATGACCTGCAGGAAAGAATCATGTCCTTGGTATCTCTAAATGAGATTCAGTTGGAACACACTGAGTAGTCCTCAGAATGCACCTGTGCCTCCCAGAAGGTGAAGACCCTTATTCCCAAGTCTTTCCCCACCACCCCAGATGGGAATGCACATTTTGAGCCTCCCCCAAACACCAAGACTCACCTCTCCTACAGTGCACGGATGACCATTGGGACAAACTGTTCAAAGAACAACAGGACACATGTTAGCAAGTCTCCATCAAATTACCAAATGTGGGAAGGGTAAGTTGCTGCCCTCCTCTCTGGTCCTGACCAACAGGACACAGAGCCCATGTCCTAAGCACCTCACCAGAAGCCTGGAGCCATGCCATCAGCTAAATTACTTGCGTGTTCCTGGAGCTCAGTGAACACATATCACCCATGAAAATAGTCTGGTTTACACAGCAGAGAGAAGTTGGATTCCAGACACAAACCAGGGGTAACTTGGTGGCAGCACTGTATATCTTTCTGTTCTCTTGGATTTTTACTTTTTTGGCAAAAGCATGTTTCAGTACAACTTTAAAAACTAGTTTTAGAAGATTATTTACTTAAGACAACAGCACAACTCATATAAAGTCATGGGTTATGCGGCTGTCTCCCAGGTGTAGGCTGCGGGAAGCTCTCTCTGGGTCAAAAACCTCTGGATTGTGACTGGCCTTTGATTGAGCCTCAGTGTGGTCTCCAGGCCCCCCTTCTTCCAAGTGACATTTCTAGAGAGCACCAGTGTAGCCCAATGGCTCTTATCCCATGACTACATATGGAAATTATTTGGTCATCTAGTCAATTAACTCTGTGGCCCTCAAGCCAAAGGCAGGAGGAGGCAAGTAACATGGGCCTTCAGCAGAACCTAGTGAAGCCCAGGTCCAGCCTCAGGTATGGCATGGCCGCAGGCAGACCTTACAAGCTGAGAAGAGTGCGACCCCTCCCCATACACTGGTACTCACTATACCATTGGATGCCTTCCAGACCTTCCCACTTCTGGGCTTGAGCCAGCAGGTCTTCAGGCGTTGTTGGAAGAAAGGCATTCTGAAAGACCAAGAGCAGAAATGGCCCTGATGAGGGGGCTTCTGGGCTGCAGCTGCTGCCTAGCAAGAGGCACAGAGTGAGGCAGTTTCTTCTCAGCTCCAGAGCTGTTTACAGAGGATGTACAACAGCTCTGTGTGAACCTGCAAAGGGCAGAGCATGTTTTCACCAGCACTGTGCTGAAGGATCAAGTGGGTCAACGGGGCAGAGAATCTAAAAGGTGAACAGGTTTGAGAGTTCCCACGGCCACCGGCCAGGTCTCAACATGAAAAAAATACACTGAAGTTTCACTGTAAAATCAAAGTTATCATCATGCAGCTTACCAACATGCTGGCGGGAGAGAAAGCTAAGTTCCTCAGGGGCACCAAGACTTCACTCTGTCCACACAGAAGGACAGCTGCAGTGTGAATGGCCATTTCTGTCACTGTTCTTTCAAGACTGTTGGCACCAGGGCCCATGCTCAGCAAAGGCAGAGTGTTGGCCACGAGGGATGCTGCGAAAGGCCTGACCCCCGTCGGAGACAGGATCCTGCTGTTTTCAACGAACATGCTCACAGCCTCGCATTGCTGGCACGAAAGACGTTTTTCATGTTAGGATATTTCAAAAAGGAATACTGTGAATTTAGGGTTTCCTCTTTGAAAGGCACACATTATGATACTGAGTACACATCAGATATCCAGGTAAACATAGTTAAATGATCACCAATGGAGGGGAAATGCTTCAGGAAAGAGAATTTTCATATAGAAACACAGCAACCACATTCTTCAGTACAGATCTCAATACTCTGTTTTGGTAAACATTAAGTAAGGTTCCTGAGTCTATAAGGTTTGGATTAAACAAAATAATCCTTCCACCTAATAAGGGTACACCCTCTATCCTACGTAGAAAATTATGGAAGGTCATAATTCCTAGTACCCTAAATATGAAATAAAATTTGTGACTTCTGTGCTTAGAAAGTCCTTCCCAATCATGAGACTAAATGAAAGCCCCAATGTGTCACTCACCTCTGGCTTAGGGCAGAGGTCTACATTGTGGGAACAGTGGAGAGCAACCACTTCTCGGAACAGCACCAGCAGCAGGTAGACTGCCTGTTGAGCTCTGGGTCTCTCGGAGGACTGTGGGTGGGTTGTGGAGCAAGTATTCAGAAGATACAGCACTACCCAGAGCAACCTTCCCTGGGCTATGCACCATGGGCCTCCATGCACATGATTGGGGCTACAAGGTCATGAGACAAGTTCAGGTTAACCTCAGTGCACAGGCAGTCATGATGGAGAAACAGAAGTCAGCACCTGTTCTTCTGTGACTACTTTAGTGGTCTTTGAAATGTGTCCTCAGAAGAGACAGAATTTTCTACTTCCTGTTCCTGGAGTAAGGCAAAGATAAACAGGGACTCAAAAAAGATGCAAGACCAGAACAATTTAAAGATTAGAATCCTGGGACTGGGGTTGTAGCTCAGTGGTAGAATGCTTGCCTAGTATATGTGAGGCACTGGGTTCAATCCTGAGAACCACATAAAAAAATAATTAATTAATTAAGGTATTGTGTTCTGCTACAGCTTAAAATATTTTTTAAATGATTAGAACCCTCAAACCCTGTGTCAACATCAAAATAGACACATAGTATGTATGTGGACTATGAATCTACATAGCAATGGATTTTGCTAATTGTTAATATCTCTTACTCTCTATGAAGACAATAGGTATCTGCCTCCTGGCATTAGTGTCACTCTTGGAGCTGTTCAGAGACCTTCTCCATCACATCTGCATCTTTTGACAGGGAAGATGCAGGTGTGAGGGATACCACCTGGAATCAGGGAGAAACTGCGAGCCCATCCTACCATCAGAGCAGTCTGGAGGCCGGAGGCCTTGCCCTCAAGCATGGCTTTGCCCACTGCATCACGAAGTGCCTTGTATTCATCCCCATGCACCAGGTATTGGTCCATCTGGCCCGTGTGGTCCTTCTGCAGCCCAGGAGAAGAGGGTTAGTCATGGTGGGGCAGGGTAGGGTGTTCTGCAAAGAGCCTTTTCCATAGGCAAAGATAGACAGCAGACACAGTTGGAGGTGAGAGGCAACTCAGCTGGAACTCCCTGTGAGTTCCAGCCATGACAATCCTGGAGGCCTTCAAAAGAACAGCCTCCTCAGAGATGGAGAGCCTGGGGAGAAGGGAGGCTGACCCTGGAGCTTGTTGCTTTTTTTACACACAGCAACACACTAACAAACATGTCATCTTTGTGTCCAAGATAGTCATCTTTAAGATGCCAAGAGTTTTAGTGCCATTTTTTAACCCCAGGACATTAAGAACTTAACAATTTCTGAGCACTGGGAATGGAGAAGCCTGAAAGCCAAACTCATTGCACTGTCTCTCAATTCTTACGCACCTCTGCCTGGCAGAGAGCACAAGACACAGCTTGCAAGCTGAGTAACCTTTTACTTTGCTGGAAGCAAATATTAAAAAAAACATTCATTCACTTTTCCTGTGTAGAATTCAATTAGAAATAAAGCCTCCATAAAATGCAGGTGAACTACAAACCAGAAACACACACAAATGTGCACACACGAACATGCCCATACCTACCTTTGCTCTATGGCAGGTGGCCTAAACCCACCCTGAAGCAGAGACCAAGGACCAGATACCTGCCTGTGTCCTGCCTATTATGAGGGAAGAGAGAGTGAGGAGTGGTTCCCACAGCTTTCCTGCTCTGCCAGGGACCTGCTTCTCACCTGCTGTGCAATGACTCCCTTGGGAAACACCCACTGGCATCGATGGCCCTGCTTGGAGAGGCTCTGCACAAATTCCAACCCTCGCAGGCTTGCGAGCCTCCGGACCAGGTACACGCAGTGCCAGTCGTTCCCTGCCTGGGTGCAGAACTGCTCAACACATCGCAGGTAGTACTGCTCCTCCACAGCCAGCTCTGACAGTGCAAGGAGAAAGCTAGTCAGTGACTGGGGACTGAGGGCTTTCTTCTGGGGAACTCAGTAAAGAAAACATCCAGAACAGGGGAACATGGTAAGGACTAGAAAATCCCTAAGGAGAGTTCCTGTTCTTCTGAACTTATAGCTAATTTCTCCAAGGTAAAGAAGACCTGCCTGAGCCCTCCTGAAGCTTCAAAAGAAGGTCAGAAGCCCTGTCGAGACACAAGCGGGTCCTGGCCACCTCCTGAAGGTACTCAACAGACACTGTAGTGGCAGGTCCTTGGCCTTGTCTCCCTGAGGAGCAGGTCTGTAGGAAATGGCCTTCCTCACTCAGGCAGTCGAGTTCACTCCTTGTACAGTAAGCACTGGTCTTCTCATGAATTGAATCCTAAGGAACAGAGAACAAGAAAGAAAAGAATATTATACTTTCCAACAGGCAACTCCCCATCCTTCTAAAATTATAGAAAACAACCAGAAAAAAGCAAACTGATAAGGAAAAAATGTGTATAACCTATTTTTATAATATGCATTATACAAGTTTTGGGAATAAAAATATGAAGACAATAAAAATAAAAAGGATTCAGGATCTCGCCAGGTGGGGATGACCATTGTTAACCCTGTTTTGTACTCATTCAGGCTGTGGTTTCTTCTGCTTTGCACACACATGTACATGACTCCCTCCCCTTTGCCCTATCTAAAGTTCCTCCATTCCTTCCATGCTCCCCCTGACCTCCATTCTGGATCAGCATCCACATATCAGAGAAAACATTCAGACTTTTAGGATTGGCTTTTTTCATTTAGCATTTCATTTGTACTCTATATACTGCTGAACAACAGGGACACCTTCAAAAAATGCATCTGTAGGGGATTTCACTGCTGTGCTAACATCAGACATTTTCAGATGCTAGGTGAGGATCTCACAAGACCAACATCAGACACGCAGTGATGGAAATATCACCAAGTGAATTGTGACTGTGTGTGTGACATCTAAGAGCAGAGCAAAGTCTTTGAAACTTCTTTCTTTTTTTACATGGAAAAAAAGCATCTATTAATTGTACTGAATAAAGCTGCATTTTTTCAGTTTTCAGAAACTCTGCCACTGTGGAAACCATATGGTTCAGAGAGTTTGTAGAAGAAAAGCACCAAAGTGGCAGCTGGCTTACTTCCGGCAGTTGATGAAGAGCATGTAGGGTTCAGTCTTATCTTTAATGATGAATGCCTTCTTCTCTAATAGGGACAAGTAGGCCTGGATGTAATCTTTCACTGCATGGAAGCTGTGGAAAGATAAATATTATTCCTGATAACGTTAGAATGGCAGAATCACCCTATACAAAAGAGCATCTATTAACCAATCATCTGCCCATCTATTTCCCTGTGTGTACAAAGGTATAAAATATATATAGGTATGTAGATTTGATAGCTCTTTTAATTAATTCATTCAATCTAATTTGTTATACATGACAGCAGAGTGCATTTCAATTCATAGTACACACATAGAGTACAATTTTTTTCATGTTTCTGGTTGTACACAAAGTAGTGTCACACCATTTGTGTCTTCATACATGTACTTAGTGTAATGATGTCCATCTCATTCTACCATCTTTCCTATCCCAATGCACCCTCCCTTTCCCTCCCTCCCCTTTGCCCTATCTAAAGTTCCTCCATTCCTTCCATGCTCCCCCCGACCTCCATTCTGGATCAGCATCCACATATCAGAGAAAATATTCAGACTTTGGTTTTTTAGGATTGGCTTTTTTCATTTAGCATGATATTTTCCAACTCTATCCATTTACCTGAAAATGTCATGGTTTTATTCTCTTTTAATGATGAGTAATATTCCACTGTGTATATATATACCATAGTTTCTTTATCCATTTATCTACTGAAGGGCATCTAGATTGGTTGTACAATTTAGCTATTGCTAATTGTGCTGCTATACACATTGATGT